GGGGGTGTGTACTTCTCTGCACCTCCACTATCAGCTCCTTTGTCTTTGCGACGTTGAGGGTGAGATGGTTGTCTCGACACCAGTGGGTCAGGGCGCTGACCTCCTCCCTGTAAGCCGTCTCATCACTGTAGTGTCGTCTGCAAACTTCACAATGATGTTGGAGTTGTTAGTGGCTTCATTTGTGTTGTTCCTGTTGTCCAGCGCTTCATTTCTCCTGCAGCATATTTTTGTAATTTTTTAAAAAGTAAAAAAAAAAATCTTTATTGTGATTGAAGATTTTAAATTCACACGATTTTACCTTCTGTCGTCGTAATCGTGCCGCAGGCGTCGCTTCCTGTACCTGGTGAACCTGGAGTTGCCGTCTGAACCGTCGCGGAAAATCGGGCGACAGAGTAAGTGGGACGTGGGGACGGTCCAGTGGAACCCGCACAGATCCGACGCCCACGTCTTCGCCGCCTCTGTGAGTGAGACCTCCAGAATAATTCATCATAAAATCATCGCAACAGAAATAATGTCGTGTAGGTAAAGAAGGTGGAGGCTTTGTGTGTTTCCCAGTGTGTATTTCTGTGTGTGCGTGTTGTCCTCAGAGTAACCAGCGGGTGGATCTGTACTCGTGGAGGGACGGCTGCGGCGAAACGCACACCTCCCTGCAGGGGCACACCCGGGTCATCAGGTAACAGCAGATCAAATCAAACGCACCCATCAGCAGGTAAACGCGGTCCGGCCTCACTGATGTGTTCGTGTCCGCAGCGATCTGGACTGGTCCTGGTTTGAACCCGAGTTCCTGGTCACCAGCTCCGTGGACACCTACATCTACATCTGGGACACCAGGTCAGAGCAAAGGAAGACCTTCCAGTATCATGTTTATTATTTATTATCTGTCTAAGACAAAACATTCACACGTCCCCGCATTAACATCATGTAACCTGATATAACAGGTGTGCTTACGATGAGCTTCGCTGGTAAAATGATCTTTATCCTGATTCGTGGCCTGGACTACGAAGCTGGTTTAACAAACCCAGGATATCGTTGTTATCTGGCTTCTCTTAGCCTGACATCATCAGTTAGACTAAGAGGTCACAGGGAACTGGTGATGGTCTGAAGAATCCCGACAATGCTTCTGAGTGATTTTTGATTCTTTGACCCCACAGAGACACTCGGAAACCCACGCTGGCGCTGTCCGCGGTCGGTGAGTATTTAAAGGGCCGGACTGTTTCCTCCGTCAGTGTCCACATGAATCACACAGCTGACACATTCAGTTTGAGTCTAACTGAGCTCCTCACAGTCAGTCAGAGTTACGCTGGTTTGTGTGTTATAAGGGGACGCGTCCACGACAGCCTGATGTCCTGATGGAGTCGGGCTCAGGATTAAACGAGAGGGCAGAGCAGAGAGCGCGCACTTTACCGATGTAAACACAAACAAGCTTTTTGTTTGCTCATTTATTCATTCATATGTTTTTCTCTTTACCGTCCTCACTGCCTCGCCAACACTTTCAGTTTTGCATCAGCGTAACGTCTCAGCTTTCATGTCAACTTCTAAGGGGATCCTTGAAAAGTCTCCATTTAGATTTAGGCAAATGTGTGCAAGCTGGTAATTACTTCTTAATCTATATATCAGTTTCTAATAACTGCTAAAATTTAGAACCAGCGGGTCCAGGAAGTCACAGCCAACAGTTTTACATGAAATGAAACCATAAATGATTTCAAACAGTAACAACGTCTGAAGTATTTTAGAGGTTCAGACGTCCAGATGGCTGAGTGTCTTTGAATGCACCATAACTGCTCTTAAATGCAATATTATGTGGGAAAAAAAGCAACTGAATGTTAAAGTCAGCTGTTGTGATGGATGAACTTTGCTTGGTTAACTCTCTAATTACAAACTAGTTCTCCCTCCTGCCAGCTGGGGCGTCTCAGGTGAAGTGGAACAAGAAGAACCAGAATCTGCTGGCGTCCAGTCACGACGGTGACGTTCGGATCTGGGACAAAAGGGTGAGCGCTCCCGTCCTGACTCACTGGCTTCGGGCTGACGTGTGCACGTGAACGCACTCGGTCGTCTCACGGTGCGTGTTTCCTCTGAGCAGAAGCCGAACACGGCGGCAGAATACGTGGCCGCTCACCTGTCCAAGATCCACGGCCTCGACTGGCATCCGGACAGCGAGTTCATCTTCGCCACGTCCAGCCAGGACAACTCAGTGAGGGTGAGAGCAGAGAAAACCCAGAGGCCACAAATAAGCACGCGAAATACTCGAGAAACAGCAGATTCACATCCTGTCGCACGCACGTCCCAGCTGGAAAAACAGAATTCAGAGCTGCGTCTGTCAGTGTGACCTCTACTCTACCTGAGCACTCAAAGCTCTCAGAGTGTTACTGAACAAAACCAACCAGCTGATTCGCCTAAAACCAAAACAGAGGGATGAAAAAACACCACAGAAAGACCCAAATCACCAAAAAGAGACACAAAAGCACCGCAGACATGTTTAAATAATTCTTTAAATGCACATGAGCAGCAAAACATCTGAAATATAAACCTTTTGTGTTTTGTGCAGTTTTGGGATTACCGGCAGCCCAGGAAGTACCTGAACATCTTGTCGTGTCAGGTGCCGGTGTGGAAGGCCAGGTACACGGTGAGTGTCGGCCTCCTGTTTGTGCTTCTGTAGTGGGATAAAAAGGATGAAGCTTCAAGGTCTGAGAGGTGAAGCAAACATGGAAGTGCCTCAACCCTGCATTCATGTTAATGGTCAGCAGGGGGCGCCACTCTGGTTCCAAAAATACTGCAGGCTGTGTAGAAGTGTGTGAGGGGAAAAACCTTCAGATCCTTTGATCTGTGTCCACTTTTATGATGACTTCATGGCCTCCATCATGGCCTCCATCATGGCCTCCATCATGGCCTCCATCATGGCCTCCATCATGGCCTCCATCAGGGCCTCCATCATGGCCTCCACCCTCCTGCAGGGTGCTGCTCGTGGTGAAATGCACACAGACAGCTTATATTTCCTGGTTCGTCTGGGGTCACAGTTTCTGCTGCCTTAGCATCAGATCACAACAAATTGGGGGGCACGGCGCCTTCGCGTGCTGAGGAAATTTACATCACTCAGATGCAAGCTAACCTTTAGCACCCTGCTAACAAGCGCAGCGCCACAGTAACTGCCCTGAGTGGGTTATAACCGTGGTCGAATCTGGATTTGTGCAGTTTGCTGTGCATCCTTCAGTCACATGCAGACTTGCTGGATTTGCGCTTGGTTATAAAACTGAGGAAAAAGCAGCTCAGTGTGTTTTTGCCTCGTCAGCCGTTCTCCAATGGTCTGGTCACGGTGATGGTTCCTCAGCTGAGGAGGGAGAACAGCCTTTTACTGTGGAGTACGCTCGACCTCAACAGCCCCGTCCACGCCTTCGTGGGACACGACGACGTGGTGCTGGAGTTCCAGTGGCGGCCGCAGAAAGAAGGTGAAACTCGCCGCAGAGATGGGGAAAAGCAGAGCGGAGGTTTGTGGCTGTTTTCTCTCCTCTTCAGTGACGCCGTGTCGGTGTTTCCCCTGCAGGCTCCAAGGACTACCAGCTGGTCACCTGGTCCAGAGATCAGACTCTGAGGATATGGAGGGTGGATCCTCAGCTGCAGAAGGTCAGCACGCGGCGTCACGGGGACGAGCTCACACAGAGACTTGATTGGCTGATATATGTGCTGTTTTTTTGTTGTGTAGCTGTGTGTCAGTGACGTGCAGGAGGACCTGATGGACGCGATGTCCCTCACCGCGGAGTCGGAGAAGCCTCTGTCGTCTCAGGAGTCGGAGGGCCAGCAGAGCGGGGGCCCCGCCTCGGAGAGCCTGCAGGGTGAGACGACGACTTCGCACGTTTCACTGACTGCACACTAACTGACGGCTAACACAGACGTCACTACCGTCTCAATGTGAAACTATATGAAAGCATGCAAAAAGAAGTCTTCCAGGAACGCGCGAGGCTGCAGCAGAGGATATTAGAAAACTCTGGCTGTAAGCAGATGTAACATTGATCCAGGTCCAGTCTGAGTCTGACCTCTGACCTTTCTGTATGCATCTCTCAGATCAGGACGGCTCTCTGACTGCTGGAGGTCTTCAGGACTCGGCGGCAGGTTCGGGTCTCGCTCAGACTCTGCAGCAGGAGTTCTCTCTGGTCAACCTGCAGATTAGAAACGTCAACGTGGAGGTGAGCTGGTGCCTGATGATAGTGAGGAAACGTTTCAAAGGAGGGCGAGCAGTCCTGAGCTCACTGATGGACGATCATTGAAATCAGACGGATTGGTGATGTTTGTTTTGTGTAGATGGACGCGTTGAACCACAGCTGCGTGGTGTCGGCTCATTTCGGGAGCCATCAGGTTCACCTGGTTGTAAAGTTTCCGGCTCAGTATCCAAACAACGCCGCGCCCACCTTCCAGTTTGTCTCCCCGACGACCATCCCCTCTGCCATGAAGACCAAGATCCAGAAGGTACCCGAACGCATCACGCTGTCAGTAAACCAGACCTGTGTATGCTGGAGGCTGCATGCAGCTCACGCTCTGATTTCTTCTGTATTTTTTAAATCAAACTGACTGTGATTGAAGCTGTAGTTCAGTGAGGTCGGTGTTTGAGGCGTCTCCCTGTGCTCAGATCCTCAGAGACACGTCTCTGCAGAAGGTGAAGAGGAACCAGAACTGCCTGGAGCCGTGCGTCCGACAGCTCGTGTCCTGCTTGGAGTCTGATATGGTGAGAATAACGTCACGTGTCTGTGTCTAAAACTGCGCCCTGAAGTCCTTCACCACCTGGGGGCGCTGCTCCACCACCACCTGTCTCGCTCTCGCAGGTGTAGGCTCTGTTTTGTGGGGAAACTTTGTTTGCTGTATTCTGGTGAGGGTGGTGCGGTGGTTAGCACTGTTGCCTCACAGCAAGAAGGTCCTTAGTTTGACTCCGGGGTCTTCCTGTGTGGAGGTTGCATGCTCTCCCTGTGTGTGCGTGGGTTCTCTCCGGTACGCCGGCTTCCTCCCACCGTCCAAAGACTTGCAGTTAGTGGGGTTGGTTCATTGGTGATTTGATTGTAGGTGTGACTGTGATGTGAATGGTTGTCTGTCTCTGTGTTAGCCCTGCGTCAGGCTGGCGACCTGTCCGGGTTGTACCCGCCTCTCGCCCTACGGTAGCTGGGATATGTTCCAGCTCCCCCTCGTGACCCTGAGAAGGATAAGGGATATTCTGTTGAATTTCATGTACAAATTATTTTTGTTTTTGTTTATTTTTTACATAAGTTTATGTGACTGTAACAAAATCTCAGCCAATCACTGCTCTGTCTGTTTCCTGTCTCAGACACAGGAGGACAGTCCCGCCTCCGGCCCCTTCGTCCTGTCCAACCCCGTCACTCCGTCCCTGCAGGCGTTTCCTCGAGTCACCAACACCTACGGCTCCTACCAGGTAACACCTGCGCCAGGTAACACCTGCGCCAGGTAACACCTGCGCCAGGTAACACCTGCGCCAGGTAACACCTGCGCCAGGTAACACCTGCGCCAGGTAACCTACTCTGTGCAGGACAGTTTTCTTCTGTCCTCTCCATGTGACAGCTGAAGGGTCGTTTCTGCCTGACGCTCTTAAAGTGTCACAGGAGATTTCTGCTTCCTTCCAGGACGCCAACATCCCGTTCCCTCGGACATCCGGAGCTCGCTTTTGTGGCACCGGCTGTCTCGTTTACTTCACCCGACCGATAACCATGCACCGCTCTGCCCCGCCCACAGAGCCCACTCCCAGGTAAGATACCACACCTCTTTTTTTTTAACAATCATGTCAACGTTTCTTTAATTTTTAACAAACAAACATCAGATTTGTAGGAAACAGATGACGCAAAGTTTACAACTTATCTTGAAAATTCTTTGTGCAAAGTGGCGTCGGATCTCCTCCCGTGTCAGCGCCAGTTTTCATGGCGATGTGTTCATGTTTTGTTCTCATGATGGAGACAAACTTTAAAGTGTCCCTGCAGCTCTAATCCAGAAGGCTTTGAGCAGTGACTTTTGATTTTTAGCCGACATGGATGTGCTCAGTTTGGTTTTTATCCAGGTATTTATGACATATTAAAGAAAAGTGCATTAAATTAACATAATCCAAACATTTTCCTTTTAAATGGATGTTTTCTGTTTCGTTGTATCCGTCTGATAATGAAACATCCAAACACGTCTGTGGATGCGAGCTGTGGTTATAAACTGTTGTGGTTCTGTTTGATGGAGCTCGGATAAAGTACACGAATCTGCACG